AATTATAGTTTTTTTTAAAATTTGAATATTTTATTATTTTTGTAATACAGCGAATATAATATGGAATACAAATTTCACGTCATATTTATTTATAGATTTTTATCAATACTCCATTTTGTTCGTTATTTAGGAAATGTAATAAGAGGATCAGTGTATAAATGGGATAGAATTTTATATTGAGGTTCATCGATACAGAAATTTGTTTCGTTACTTTTTAAATGTTTCATGGTTTCGGTAATTTAGTGGATACAATGTTAGGTATAACAACAGAGTAGAATGTAGCATTTTAGACCACGTTTCAATCGATTCGAATTGATATTAAATTTCGCGTCTAAGTAATATGCCGGGAATGAAAAATCTGCTCGAGTATCACATTCCATTAATATCAATCATTCGCTCACCTTTCGCGTACCACTGCTTATTAAGAATTTAACACGTATTGGTACGAGATGTTACTAGACTTTTAGCGAACTTTTATGCATGCGCAGTATTCATATTTCCTATTTTTCTCCTTATCTGATACAATATTCACTGTAACTTCTCCTTCAACCACGGCAGAAATTTTCCTCAGCAAAAATGAATTTAAAGTTATTTCAAATTGAAGATATTCTCGTGTAGAGATAATTGAATTTTTTCACTCATTTATATTCCACACTTTTTGCTAGCTTTGCCTTCCTTCCTTTCCTTATCTACTTTATACCCTCACAAATTTTCCGAAACCTTCTTCCTCTGAAATATTCTAAAATCCAAGTTTCAATTTTAAAATTGAGCTCTCAAGTTTTCGAATTTTCTTCAAGTTTCCTTTTACGAAACTTGTTCAATAAATAATCTATTTTACAACCAAGTTATACTAAATGAAACTATCAACAGATGAGAAGACTTCTTTTCCCAACACTTGAGCGCAAACTTTGAAAGCTCGTTTTTTTCTGTCGCGAAAAATAGCTTTCAATTTTTAAACACCTTTTGAACAGCAGAAAACTCGAAATTTCCTTATCACTTCTGATCGTGTTTAAGTTCGTTTCAACGAGATCTGAAGGAACACAGTCCAAGTTAAGCCGACTTTCAGGTAATTAGGCGAACTCATTTCAATGTATAAAAACGTCTGAAACGAGCGTTAATCGTCCACGTGGCCTAAAAGCACATCGAGACTAAGTTCCATGATATTAACCGGAATTCAATCTCGATTGAAACAGGCCAACGAATGATATCTCCTCTTTCTAACTTCTTCGAGCTTTCGAAAATAAAAAGAAAACGGAAAAAGTGAAACACGCGAGAAACGTACAAGGACGAAGGCAGAAAATGTGGAAAAAATTGTAGCGACGAGAGAGAGGTTTCATAATACCGTGGTTAAGTATTCGGAAATTATTCGCAGGCAGGCAAAATTTCGTTGAAAAGTATGCTTCGTACGAGGATCGGTGAAACGTCGCGATTTCTCGCGACGTTAATCGTACATTTCCATTTGCAAAAACGAAGTTTACGGGTCGCTTAATTTCGCCAGATTCCCTTTCTTTAATGGAAACATTCGGTGTTTTATTTCATTGCGGCTCTTTTCATCGGCCAATTATTCGAACGAACGTGCCAGCAGAGTTTTTACGCGGCGTGCAAGTGAATAACGACGATTGAAATTATTTAAAAAACGGTCGGTTGTGCGTTGAATTAAGTATCGCCAACGTTGATAAACTCTGACGATGATATTCCTTTGCAGGATTGTATATTTACAGGCGACTGGAAACGCAGATCTCTGCAGCACGTAAAATTCACTTTGCACCTCGTTCGATTTTACAGCCACGCGGTATCTAACAAATGAACGATGTTTAAGGAACATTTATCACGCGAAATATTTGTATTTGGCGATACGAAGTGCGTTGGATTGTGTTCAAGTGATAGCAAAGCTAATATCTAGTGGAAATCTAGTGGAAAAATCAATAGAGTTGACAAAAATGTAAAAATGAGATTATTATGGAATTGTGTTGTTTTCATAGGTAATTTAAGTACGGCAAGTCGTAAAGGGAAACGATTAATTGAAGATTGAAAAAATAAAGTAAAACTTAACGTTATTGTAGTTTCAGTGAAATAGGTCAAGCATTGCACCAACGTATCAAAAATATTTTCACTGAGAAAGGTACAGAAGAATCAGATTTCTAGTGTTTACCAAAACTCCTTTTCTTTCTTCTGCAAAATTTCAATTTTTCAATTCTGCAGCTTTTACAGGTAATTTATAGCACTGCCGTTAGGCAAATGCAAGTAAATTTCATTAACGATTTTGTTCTTTTATTACTGTTTTCCTCGAAAAGTTCTAAGTAACGTTCTGTAAACATTTCAGCAGTACGAATATCGATAGCTCCGAATTTATATGTTTCTTTACTGCAATGCGCTTTACCTTATACTTGAGCAGAGTACATTTACTTACCGATTCAACCGAATTCAACCAAAATTTCTGTCTATCGTTCAAATTGTAAAATAAACGAAGATCGTTAAAATACCATCCATAATATATTACTACTCAGCATTGGTAGTCGCTTAACCCAGAAAATGTAAATTTTATAGGACAAGCAGTTTAAAATTTGCATTTGACTAATAGTTGAATGAAATTAACTTTCCTTTTGCATCTGTCCAGAGTAAAACCGCAGATAGTATATTCGCTAAAGACTTCAACGGAACACCAGATCAACCTACGTGCTACACCTTTTTCAACCACAGAAAACGATTAAAAATCAACGTCGTTGAATGTTGAAAAAGCATAGTCAACACGATCATTCATCTGATGTGAAACTAACTTTAAAAATATGCTACTTCAGATGCCAAAAATACAGTACCAACAGAGTTCACTTACACAAAAACCAAAAATCGACATTGTTTGAATTACCTCGAACAACGATATCTCCGCCAACATGAAACCCCGTAAGACAACCCTAAACCTAAAATGCCCATTAAACCGACGCTTTGTCAAGCACGTAACCCAAATGAATCCCGCTTAATCCATCCTCTCCTCCGCAAGTATATCACAATACAACGGGTCAATTAAACTCCCTTTGGATAAACAACAGACTCAATCAAACAACGCAAACAACCGGTACAGCCGATTCCTGCAATCCAAACTTCCATACCGTCACTTCGAATCACGCTACGCGATCACTTTCGTGCAACTGCCACCCTCCCTCTCCTTGACGTTTCACTCGAACACCCTGAAGGCTTTTCGTGGAAAAAAAAGGAAAGTCGAGGGTAGAAAGTAGGTCCTACTCGTTCAGTGGAATTTCGATGGGCCAGCCTCGTGTGCTCGAGTGCCTTCGATATTGCGGTGCATCCCGAAATTCCTAAGGGCTTGGTAACACGACCATCGGCAAAGGGGTGAGGGTGGAATTGGGTGGGCAGAGGAGGTGACAGGGCTCGATCGATAGCGTCTCGTGGAAAAAGAAGCCAGTGTGCCACCTCACGATCTCAAGCGGTTTGCACAGGACTATGGGTACACTCGTGCACGCCTTTCGGGGTTAGTTTCGCAATATCGCGGCTCTAGTGGGTTGCAATTGCACGGCCCGGCTACACTGATTTGCCCTGTACCGTGTACCTCGATGTCGGCAAAGGGGTGAGGGTGGAATTGGGTGGGCAGAGGAGGTGACAGGGCTCGATCGATAGCGTCTCGTGGAAAAAGAAGCCAGTGTGCCACCTCACGATCTCAAGCGGTTTGCACAGGACTACGGGTACACTCGTGCACGCCTTTCGGGGTTAGTTTCGCAATATCGCGGCTCTAGTGGGTTGCAATTGCACGGTCCGGCTACACTGATTTGCCCTGTACCGTGTACCTCGATGCTTTTCCTTTTTTTTTCGCTTTAATTTTCAGCATTGTGAGCGAAAGTTGAAATGCAGCGTGGGTCAGTGTGAAATTTCGCTAGTTTGGGTGCTCTTTATGCCTAAGTGCCTCTGATACGGTTGTTTCAATGATAAAGTTGCGAAAGTGTACTGGAAACTTTATTTTTGAAATTTTTCGGATAGAGGAAACACTGTCAATTAATGTGAAATTCACTTTTTTTTTTTTGTAGTTGATGTAGGGATATACTTTGTGTATGTTGTACGAGTGAGAAATAGATTCTGTATTTATTTCTTTTATCTGCTGAAGTATTTAGAGAAGTGGAGCATTCCTTGTCGAATTAAATTATCTTTGAGGTACAAGATTGTACGAGGTAATATTTGATATATTTCAATTTCACTAATGGAATGTGCGCAAACATTTCTTTCAACATGCCT